AGTTTGAGACCAGCCTGGCCAATATGATGAAACCCTATCTCTACTAAAAACACAAAAGAATAGCCTCGTGTGGTGGCGTATGCCTGTAATGCCAGGTACTCTGGAGGCTAAGGCAGGAAAATTGCTTGAACCTGGGAGGTGGAGGTTGGGTGAGCCAAGATCACACCAACACATCCAGTGTGGACAAGAGCAAAACTCCATCTCAAAAAAAAGAAAAAAGAACATCCTCCTACTAATCAAAGGGCAACTATTAAGCATTGTCTCTCCTTCAAGTTAACTATTTTAGAAACCATATTCGTTACAGGCTAAATTTTGCCCGATCCAAATTCAAGAGAAAAGATCAAATTCTTCTTATTACTCAGTATTGCTTGAAAGATAAGTTAGAACCTAATTCTGTGTCCTCTGACTAAATCTTGGGCCCTGCTGGGTGTGTCATTTTATCTTATTTAGCATCCGTTATGTGGCCTTAGGTAAGCCATCTCACCACAGCATGCCTTTCTTTCCTCAGCAGGGGTAGTCAAGCATGCAGACTGAGACCACCATTTCTGGACTCAGACCAGTGATTTTGTAACGTCTATCTATGTAACCTTGCAAAAGATATTACTTCAAGTTTATTTTGGACTTTGGACTTAGTCCAACGTTAACAGCATGCCTCTAGAGTCTCTGATTTTGTTTAACTTCAGACTGGGCATCTTACTTAGCTTAGGTTAGTGATTTTTAGGGTTGCCAGATAAAATATAGGACACCCAGTTAAATTTTAATCTCAGATAAACAAATAATTTATAAGTATATCCGATACAATATTTAGGACATACTTAAAACAAAATACTTTTGTTTATCTGAAATTTCACATTTAACCGGACATTTGGTATTTTAATTTGCTAAATCCGACGACCCTAGTGGCTTCTCTGATCATGTTTGTTTTCTGCAAATGGGGCTGAAAATAGCACTTTCTCCCTAAGATGATCTACATACAGAACGCTGCTCATGGCAAAACTTTAATTTACCTTGCAAATCAGGATATTTTGGTAGAGACTTTGTTAAAACTCTGGGACAAAGACCATGCACAGGCACTCAAATAGAATGTTACCTTTATTCAAAGGTTTTCTAAACAGGACAGAGAAAGTTCAATAGAACCCTTAGCAAAGTTACAAACTGCGTTGGAAGATATATACACTTGCCTTCAAAGTAACAGACCATGGGTATCTTAGCCACATCCCTGCAAACTGCAAATGCTGCGTAGTACCCGGAAAGCGGTGGCTGGGTCTCTGCGCAAGCGCACAGGGACTTCTGGGTTCCACGCCCGGCCCCTCCCCTCCGGAGAGAGTCACGTGGCAAGCCGCGGCTTAGGACGCGCGGCCAGCCTTGTCACGTGACCCACGCCCCAGCTTCTCTCAGGGATGGAGCCGGAAGAGGGGACGCCCTTGTGGCGGCTGCAAAAGCTGCCGGCCGAGCGGGGCCCGCAGGTGAGGGGGGGGTCCCTGAGTAAGCGGCGTGGGGCCGGGGCTTTGGTACGGTCTGGCTAGCGGCTCAGGCCTGGTGCGACCCAGACGCCTTCGCAAGCTCCCTAGGGAAGGGAGGAGGAAGGGGCGTGATTTCGGGTCCCCGCCTCCTCTGGGGAGCCTAGGAGGACAGCTTGGGGCACCACCTCTGCGCCCTGGCCTGGCTGCGCCCTGCGCTCCAGGGGCTTTCCGCGCAGAAACGCCCGGAGGCGCCTGCCTCAGACTGGGCTTTGAAAGCTTCTGACGTCAAGTCGGTGTTTGCTGCCTCTTCGCAAACGTTTTCTTCATTCATTCAACACAGACGTACCTGGCAGCGAGCACAGTGCTAGGTGCTGGGAATACTATGTGGCGTTGACTGAAGCGGACCCTGCCCCCCGTTGAGGGTGCTTTGAAGGAAGCGAAATAACTGGGAGAGTTACTTTAGTTAGAGTCGTCCCAAGAGGTGATATGCCCACTGACTTCCATTCTATCAAAGAACCTGGCTTGTAAGAATCTGGAAGAAGCAACCTCATTCATTTGTTCAGCCAGTTTTTCTTTGAAGTTTACCATACGTTGAGCGCTCGGATGGGATGAGGTAAAATAGTGAGTGAGACATAGCCTGTGACCTGGTGGAGCATCTTTTTTATGAGCCCCAATTTTGGTCTTCCTGTTTCCTCTATTCCATTTACACTGGAAAAAGTGTGGGAGAGACAGAAAGGAATTAACTTACTTCCTGCCAGGATCCAGAAAAACAAAAACACACCCGAATTCTTTTCTTTGATTTTGCAAGTGAGGAAGCTGAAATGTCCGCAGAAATTTTGGGTTACTTGCCCAGGGTTGCCCAGCCAGTAAGTGGCAAAGCTGGAACTTATACTCAGATCTATTGATTCTGAGTGTTTTGTTGGCTTTAGGCTCTCCTTGTCTTCATTCTACACATTTAGGTAAGGTGTAGCCTTACCTTTACTTTTACTATAACCTTTACTATCATATATGTTGATGATTCCTAAATCTCTGGGTCCAGCCAAAAATTTCTTCCTTGACGTTTCAAGAACGTAAACCCAAACCAGACTCTCTTCTCTGAGTGTCAGCCTTCTGCCACAGGTACCTCAAATTCAGTGTGCCCTTGCCTGAGCTCTTCTTTCCCCCGGACTTACTCCTCCTGTAGCCTCCTTTTCAGTTTGTGGCACCACCACTTTCACTCAGCCACTCAACCTCCCATTCTAGGTTTCCTTCGTGGCCTCTTTCACGTCTCTTCTCCCTCTTTACTGTCTCCATTTTGAGTGTCCTCAACAATTGAGGCCCCTTAATCTTTAGCTCCTTCACTGAAAATGGAGGCCTGCAGGCTCACCCTCTCTCTTCTTTTACATCTTCCAATCTGTTAAATATATGAAAAAATAATGCAAATATGTGAATAGGATTGTTCCTGGTTGAGCACAGACTGAAGTCTAGGCTCTTTTGCCTTGTATACAAGGCCCTTTTTGGTTTGGTTTCACCCACCTCTCCAGCCTTGTCTCATGTCACTCCCTCGCTCCCGAAATAGCCTGCTATTTGCTAAATCAAGCAGTGTGATTTTACAGTTTTCATCCTATGGAAATGCCGCTGCTTGTGTCTAGAAATGCCCTTCTCTCCTGTTTGCCTGGCAAACTACCTTTTAAGACAGCCTTTTCCTTGCTTCTTCTCTGAGCTTTTTATACCTTCTCTATACTTTTATTATGGCCCCATCATTCTAAATTGCATGTATTTATCTGTTTGCTTTATTCTGTTTTTTTTTTTTTTTTTTTTTTTTTTTTTAGAGAAGGAAAGAAAAGGAGTGAAGGAGAGGAAGAAAGAGGACGAAAAAGAGGGAGAGAGAGCAGAAATGTTGCTTTATTCTAAAAAAATGGGTATTAATAATGGCCAATCAATATTTCATTTAAACCTATGAGTAGGTGTGATGTTGTATTGACAAGAATGTATATTTTGTGTATTTAAAGTGGAGAGCTCTATAAATATTTATTAAGTTTACTTGTTCCAGATCTGAGTTCGAGTCCTGGATATCCTTATTAATTTTCTGTCTCATTGAGTCTAAGTCTCTATGTATCTGGGTATTAGGATCATTAGCTCTTATTGTTGCATTGATCCTTTTACCACTATATCTTTGTTGCTTTAAAATCTATTTTATCAGATATGAGAATTGCAACTCCTGCTTTTTATTTATTTATTTATTTTTGCTCTCCATTTGGTTGGTAATTCTTTCTCCATCCCCTTGTTTTGAGTCTTTGTGTATCCTTGCATGTGAAACGGTCTGGATGTAGCATACCGTTGGGTTTTGGCTGTATCTTTTGATTGGGGGATTTAGTCGATTTAAATTTAGGATTACTGCCATTTGATGTTAACCGACTGTTTTATCCGTTAGTTGATATAAATTCTTCTTTATGTTGATGCTCTTTACTTTTTGGTATATTTTTAGAAAGGCTAATACTCTTTCTATGTATATAATGCTTCTTTCAGAAGCTCTTGTAAAGCAGGCCTGGTGGTAATAAAATCTCTGAGTACTTGCTTGTTCATAAAAGATTTTATTTTTTCTTCAGTTGTGAAGCTTAGTTTGTCAGGATATGAAATTCTGGGCTGAAAGTTCTGTTCTTTAAGGATGTTGAATATTGGACTCCACTCTCTTCTGGCTTGTAGAGTTTCTGCTGAGAGATCTGCTGTAAGTCTGACAGGCTTCCCTTTGTGGGTAACCTGACCTTTTTCTCTGGCTGCCCTTAGTATTTTCTCCTTCTTTTCAAACCTGGTGAATCTAACGATTATGTGCCTTGGGATTGCTCTTCTTGAGGAATATCTTTGTGGTATTCTCTGTATTACCTGGGGTTGAATATTGTCCTGCTTTACTAGGTTAGGAAAATTTTCCTGAATAATATCCTGAAGAATATTTTCCAGCTTGGATTCATTCTCTCCATCACATTCAGGTACACCTATCAAACGTAAATTTGTTCTTTTCACATAGTCCCACATTTCTTGGAGACTTTGCTCATTCCTTTTTATCCTTTTTTCTCTAATCTTGTCTTTTCGTTTTCTTTCATTAAATTGGACTTGGACCTCTGATATCCTTGCTTCTGCTTGATCAGTTCAAGTGTTTAAACCTGTGCATACTTCTCGGAGTTCCTGTATTGTATTCTTCAGTTCCATTAATTCACTTATATTCCTCTCTAAATTGCCTTCTCATTAGGATTTCGTCAAACCTTTTTTCAGAGTTCTTAGTTTCTTTACATTGGGTTACAACATGTTCTTTTAACTCACAGAAGTTTCTTATCCATCTTCTGAAGCCTGATTCTGTTAATGGGATGCACTCGTTCTCCATCAAGCCTTGTTCCCTTGCTGTTGAGGAACTGTGATCCTCTTTAGAGGGAGAGGCATTCTGATTTTGAGTATTCTCAGCCTTTTACGCTGGTTTCTTCGCATCATTGTAAATTTATCCACCTGTCGTCTTTGTAATTCCCAACTTTCAAATTAGGTCTCTGAGTGGAAGTCCAAGTTGTTAATTCCCAGGGCCGAAATATGAGCAACCCACTCCGCCTGCCAAAACAGCGGCGTTAAGACTGATAGTGCTTTTCTGCCCGGGAATCTCCAGTCTGGCTTCCTTCTTGAGTCCGTAATAGGCGACTCTGCCTTCCCGGAGCTCCAAACATCGGTCAGAAGGGGAACCAGTCCCGTTTACTCTTCACCAAGAGCTGCTGCACCGAGGTGCCAGCAAAACTGCTGCGCTGGCCACAGAGTCGTGCTGGCAACCGTGGGGCTCCTCCACTGGGAATCTTCTGCTCTGTGAGTGACAAAAATTTGTCTGAAAGTGTGGCATCCTCTCGTTCTCTGCGCTTTTACTGGGAGCTGCAATCCTGAGATGTTAGCCATCAGCCATCTTGGATCGTTCCTGTTTGCCTTTTTCTAATGGACTAAAGCTCTATTATGGTAGGGCCTTCCTTTATTTATTCTCAGTTTCCTCATTTGTAAAATGGGAATAGTAACATAGTAACTTTAGAGTTGTACTGAGGATCAGTCCAGAGCATGGTACCTAGTTAGGGCTCCATAGTGGTAGCTATTATAGTTTCTTTGCCATTAAATAAGGTCATTTCCATGACCTTGTTAAATAACTGGAATGTTCATTACATATTTGTGAATGAATAACATATTCTGAAAAAGATAATGCTTTTATTTTTCAGTTTGAGTTCTGGGTTTTGCTTTAGCATGGGGACGATATAGGATAAGGTATAGAGAATTTGAATGAATTCAAAATTGAGTATGTTGGTGGATTTATGGTTAATAAAAATTAGTTTGTATAGCATATTAGCCACCATTTGGAAACAGTTGCTTGTGTTCTGGTATGTGTGGTGTTAGAGAGAAGGAGTTATTCGTTAAAATGGGGTGGAATGTGATCTAGGGGAAAAGAGTTGGAAGACTTGCTGCTTAGGTGTCATTTCCAAGTTATTTGGTTCAAATACTCCTCTTGTAAGATACGAATATCCCCTGAGAAAGATAACCTTATTAAATGTTAAGTGCCTAGAATAGTACTGGCATTGTGTTATCTCAGTTAATAGATGTTGAAGGCATGGATAGTAGGAGGAGGAGTAGTGATAAGAAGAAGAAGAATGGTAATGCGGGCTAGCAATGTCTACATGTCTTTTGTACATGCCAGGAAGGTGCCAAGTGATTTGCATGTATTCAGTCCTTACAACAAGATTACAAGAATAGATGATATCCTCATTTAGCACTAGAGGAAACAGACTCAGAACATGTAAATCAAACTTAAAAATACTGAAACTGGGATTTGAACTGATAGTTTTATTCCAAAATTCACAGTCTTATCTCACTATGTTCAGTTATATATGTGTTAGGCTTTCCATTGCTGATATGAAGATACTAATAGGATAGAAAGGAATGTAAAAAAAGGAAAAAATTATTGAAGACTTTCTGAGAATGCAGAAAAGTAACTGCTGAGCTGGGTGTGGTGGTGCTCACCTGCAGTCCTAGTTACTTGGGAGGCTGAGATGGGAGAATTGCATGAGTTCTGGACTTCAAGGCCAGCCTAGGCAACATAATGAGACCTTCAAAAGAAAAAAAAAGTATCAACGTTACAAAAATGGGGCAAAGCAAAATGAAGCTTATAGGCCTACAGTAAGAGACTTTGATTTAAGTCCTGTCCTTTGGTCAATGCTATAAATATGGTGTCTTTTATATGTATCTTCTTTTCAGTTTTTTCATTATGTAATATTTATAACATAAAAAATTTTAGTTTCTGAAGGTCAACATAATAATAGAAAGTCTAGGATTTTTATGAGATTTAATTTTTAATAAGAATAATCTTAAAAGTGGTTTATACATTTTAACTTCAGCTGGTCTTGCAGTTAACATGAACATCTCCTAACATTTGTTTGCTAAAAGGAAGATAAATTTGTTTTATCATTTTACTTGTAAGTACATTTATTTCCCTTTTTCCTCTTAGCTTCTTCACAAAATAATTGATGGCATTTGTGGTCGAGCTTATCCTTTGTACCAAGATTATCACACTGTTTGGGAATCAGAAGAATGGATCCACGTTTTAGAAGATGTTACCAAATTTTTCAAAGCTATAGTTGGTAAAAACTTATCCGATGAAGAGGTAACTTCTCTGCACATTTCTATAACTTTAATAATTAACACTTAGGTTTCTCTTTGAGTTTTTTAGAGCACTGTATAATACAAGGGCCATCAACAATAACAACAAATACCTCATAATTGTGGATGGAAAAATCTGAAAGTCCTAGGTTTTTGCAGTTTATTTTTTGTTGGTTTTACTCTTTTAATTGTGAAACATTTAAAGCCTACAGAAGAAAACAAGAAGTTATATAACTGTTACATACGTTTCCATTACCACAATTAAACGGTGTTAACATTTTGCAATATGTATGTTTGTTTCAGAAATAAAGCATTACAGAGATACCTAAATTCCCCTGTCCCTCACCTGGATATCCCACCCTTACTTAGAGATCACCATTCTTGAAGGTGGTTTTCATGTTTTGTATTATATGTTGTATGTATGTTTGAATCTTTTAGTGTATTGAATTATTTGGGGTGTTTAAGTGTATAACTTGTAAAATGTAACATATGTATGCACTTGTAAATTGTTTTAAATGCAGCATTTTGTTTTACATTGATAAACATGGATCTAGTTTGTGTATTTTAACTCCTTTTAGTATTTGATGATAGGAATTACATAAGATTTATCTCCTTACTGACTAGCAGTTAGTCATTGCTTCTCTTATTATTACAAACAGTGCTGCTATAAACATTCTTTACTGCGTGTCTCCTTGTGCACACTCAGACCTGCTTTTCCAGGGTAGATATCTTGAAGTGAAATTGCAGGGTCATGGGATATCCTTCTTCCGTGGAATTGCTCAAAATTTATTTGAGCTTATTTGTGTAGGTTGCTCACTTTTCTAAAAATAGAGTTATGTATGTTTGTCATATTGATTTGGATGATATTATGGATATGAGCTCATTGTTAGAAATATGTATTTTAAATATCTTCTGTTAATGTGCTTGCCTTTTTACTCTCTTAAGGGTGTCTTTTGGTGAAACAACTTACGAAATTTAACAAGTCTGCTTTGTCAATATTTCTTTTGCTGGCTATACTATTATTGTTTTGTTTCAGAAATATTTGTGCTGAAGACATGAAGATTCTTGGATGTGTTCTTGTAGAAGCTTAATTGTTTAGCTCTCACATTATGTCACTGATGCATTTTGAACTAGTATTTGTGTATGGAGTGGAGGTCAAGTTCAAAATTTTCTACATGAATATCTAGTTGACCATTTATTGAAATAACCATCCTTGCACCACAATGTTGCTGTGTAGCCTTTATTGTAAATCAAATGGCCACATATGTGTGTCTCTGTATCTGGACTCTTTAACATCCTCCATTACTCTACTTTTGTATATTGGCCAATCCTACACTGCTTTAATTACTGTAGAATTAAGGCTAAATTAAATTATGTCTTGATATCTGATAATGGAAGACCTTCATTCTCATGCTTCTTTAGGATTGCCTTGGCTATTATATTTTCAGATAACACTCTAGAATCAACTTTTCAGTGTTAACCTACGAAATTGCTGGAATTTTTTTTTTTTTTTTTTTTTGAGATGGAGTTTCGCTCTTGTTACCCAGGCTGGAGTGCAATGGCGTGATCTCGACTCACTGCAACCTCCGCCTCCTGGGTTCAGGCAATTCTCCTGCCTCAGCCTCCTGAGTAGCTGGGACTACAGGCACGCGCCACCACGCCCAGCTAATTTTTGTATTTTTAGTAGAGACGGGGTTTCACCATGTTGACCAGGATGGTCTCGATCTCTTGACCTTTTGATCCACCCGCCTTGGCCTCCCAAAGTGCTGGGGTTATAGGCGTGAGCCACCGTGCCTGGCCTAAAATTGCTGGAATTTTGACAGAGATCCCACTGAATTGCTAGATCTTTTGTGGGGAGAATTGACATCTTAACAACATTATCTTTCCAAGGCTATGAACATGGCATGATGGACCTCATTTATTTAGATTAGCTTTAGTTTCTCTCTCATATTTTGTAGTTTTCAGTGTAGAACTCTCACAAATATTTTTTATTTCTAAGTGATGTTTTTGATCTTTCATTTTTCAGTAGCATTTTGCTAGTATGTACAAACAGTTGATTTTTATATATCTTGTGTACCACAGCCTTTCTAAATTTGTTTATAGTGTCTGATTGTATATAGCTTTTTTGGGGGGGACAATTGTATATAATCATTTTCTTTTTCAACTTTAACAGCTTTTACTTATTTTTCTTACCTTAGTGCATTGGCTAACACTATCAGGCAGTTTTCTTTTAAAAAAGCAGTGATAGTAGACATATGTCTATTACTAACCTAAGGGAGAAAGTGTTCACTATTTCACCATTTAGTATGTTAGCTCTGTGATTTTATAGATGTCCATTATCAGACTAAAGAAGTATCCTACAATTCTAACTTTGCTGAGAATTTTTTTTTTTTTTGAGACGGAGTTTTGCTCTCGTTACCCAGGCTGGAGTGCAATGGTGCAATCTCGGCTCACCACAACCTCCACCTCCTGGGTTCAGGCAATTCTCCTGTCTCAGCCTCCTGAGTAGCTGGGATTACAGGCACGCACCACCATGCCCAGGTAATTTTTTGTATTTTTAGTAGAGATGGGGTTTCACCATGTTGACCAGGATGGTCTTGATCTCTTGACCTTGTGATCCACCCGCCTCAGCCTCCTAAAGTGCTGGGATTACAGGTTTGAGCCACCGTGCCCGACTGCTGAGAATTTTTAATCATGAATGGATGGATATTGAATTGTATCAAATGCTTTTTCCCTGATTTTATAATTTTTTTTTATTTTGTTAATGTGATTTTCAAATGTTAAACTAAGGCTGGACTGCCCAAATAAACTCCACTTGATCATGATTTATTATTTTTATATATACGTTTCTTCATTTGGACTGCCAATATATTGTTTACAATTTTTGCATGTATATTTGAGTGATACTGGCCTAGGTGTTTTTTTTGGTTTGTTTTTTTAGTTTTGTTTTTTCTCCCTATAATACTCTTGTCAAGGGGTCAAGTTTTATTCTGGCCTCATGGAATGAATTTGGAAGGATTTTTTTTTTCTCTCTCCTTGTCCTCAGGAAGAGAAGTGAGATTGACATTATTTATTTATTTAGTGTTGCATTACTTAATTTTCACACATTTAGAATATTTTTGATTATCTTTTCTCATTAGTTATGACTTCATTACACAGAAATAAATATATAAACAGTATTATTTCCGTCCTTTGAGTCTGTTGTGGTTTGCTAAATGGCTCAGCATATGGTACATTATGGTGAATTTTGCATACATTTATAAATAATGTGTATTCTATAGTTGTCATACGTAGTATTCTATATATTGCTAAGCTTAGATAGAATATGTTTTTCAATTTTTCTATATATTAATTGATTTTTTGTTTGTTGTTTCTTTCTGTCAGTTATTGAGAGTTGTATTAATACCTCTAATTGTGAATTGAATTTATTCATTTCTTTCAGTACTGCCAAGTTTTGCTGCTTTATATATTTTGAAACTATGCTGTTAGGTACACACAGATTTGTGATTGTATGTCTTTCTGTTGAATGGCCCTTTTACTATCCTTCTCTACTTGTTGTAATACTTCTTGCCTTAAAGGCTACATTGTCTGATATATTAATATAAGTTGAGTACCCTTTATTTGAAATGTTTCAGACCAGAAGTGTTTTGGATTTCGGATTTTTTTTCACTTTGCAATATTTGCATTACACTCACCAGTGCAGCATCCCTACTCTAAAAATCTGAAATCTGAAATCTCAACTATTCAAATGAGTACTTTCTTTGAGCATCCTGTCAGTGCTCAGAACTTTTTCCATTTTGGGATTTGAGATACTGACTGCGTGGCTATATCAGCTTTTGTGTTTTCCAGGTGTATTCATTTTTGTGCTGCTTCTTCCATCAGTCCTTTTTCTTTACTCTTTATTTTGTAGAAATTTGTTAAAACCTATTTTCTGGCTACTCATTCTCATCTTATTTTTTTTATAATTACAGAAGTACTTCTTTTTTCTTTTCCTTTTACTGTTGTTTAAAAGTTGTGTAAAAGGAGAGTGGAACCGTGTTTTTACATTTTAAACAGACAGCCTCTTTTGCCTATTTTTACTTTTATAGATACTTCAGCAATTGAATCAGTTGAATTCATCTCATCAAGAAACTATCATGAAATGCGTGAAAAGTAGGAAAGATGAAATCAAACAGGCTCTGTTAAGAGAAATAGTTGCTATTTCCTCTGCACAGCTACAGGATTTTGATTGGCAGGTAAAGGTAAGAATCTGTTTATGAGTATGTGTATTTTTATTTCATTTTTTAGATACAGAGAAATATTTTATTATATATTTAAAATTTGTTATTTTGAGAACATATTATCTCAAATAAATATCAAAGATAGTTTAAATTACATCTTGCATTAACTTGGGCATAAGTACCCTATAAACATCCAAGCCATATATAATAACATTACACTGATAATAAATTCAGTTAGATCTGTAAAGCATTAAATGACATAAGTGATGGGGCAGCATATAGTCAACATGTGTGTGTGTGTGTGTGTGTGTGTTTTTTTTTTTTTTTTTTTTTTTTGAGACAGAGTTGTGTTCTGTCATCCAGGTTGGAGTGCAGTGAAGCGATCTTGGCTCACTGCAACCTCCGTCTCCCAGGTTCAAGCCATTCTCCTGCCTTAGCCTCCTCAGTTGCTGGGACTGCAGGCACATGCCACCACACCCAGCTAATTTTTGTATTTTTGGTGGAGATGGGGTTTTGCTATGTTGACTAGGCTTGTCTTGAATCCTGGCCTCAAGTGATTTGCCTGCCTTGGCCACCACCTAGAGTGCTGGGATTACAGGCCACCACACCTGGTCAACATATATTTTTGACCACAACTTTCTAGACTTTATAGCTTTCTTAAGAATGGTAAATATGATTCTTCCTCTAGGAGGAAAACCTCTAAGATATTAAAACATCAGTTTTAAATACATTTTGGAGAGTCACTATCAGTAGGGTTTATAAAGAACAATTCCAGACCAACTTTTTGTCCTTATAAGATACCTAGACTAGTAGATGAAGAGGAAACAGATACATTGTGTTTCTTGATTTTAGCATGACCCTAGATTAAGTGCCTTACATTGTATATCTAGATTAAGTAGAGAAAAATGTGGGAGGGTAACAGGTGGGTTCATAATCAGATAAATAACTACCCAAGGACAGATGAATTTATATTAGCTAAGAAGTCTCTGTGGTTCTGGTCTTGGCCCAGACACAAAACTAGAGAAACAACAAGCATATAATGTGCCACAAAGTTCAAAATTATTTCACAGCCAATTATAATCAGTTACCAAATGAAGCAAAATTACATTAATCAGGCAACCTATACAGAGGATTTTTAATTTAAATATTTATTTAAATTTTATAAATTTAATTTCAATTTCAGATTTTATATTTTTATAAATATAAAAGGGAGGCCAGCTGTGGTGGCTCATGCCTATAATTCCAGCACGTTGGCAGGCGGAGGCGGGTGGATCACTACAGGCCAGGAGTTTGAGACCAGCCTGGCCAAGAAAGCAAAACTGAATCTCTACTAAAAAAATACAAAAATTAGCTGAGCATGGAGGTGGGAGGCTGAAGCACAAGAATTGCTTGAACCCAGGAGGTAGAGGTTGCAGTGAGCCAAGTTTGTCATTCCACTGCACTGCAGCCTGGGCAACAGCGCAACTCTGTCTCAGAAATAAATAAATAAATAAAAGATAAGGGAGAGATATTAATGGTAGCATATATAAGAAATATTTAGTTATTTAGTTTATCAAAGTATAGCTTCATTAGTGTTGAATCAGGCCCATGTTTCGTGGGTAGAAATGCAGTTTTTCAAGCAAGAGATAGTCCTAGTATGTTCTGTTTTCGATGGTGACATCTTTTTAGTGTAATATAATCTTTTTAGTTCTGGCTGCCAAACTTAAGAGAGATTTAAAGAAATTGTACTCCAACTAGAAAAGAATGACTAGGAACTTAAAATCATGGTGTGTGAAATTGCTTTGAAACACTGAGACCATGCACCTGGAAAAGATTAAACTTAGTGGAAACATGACATTTATTTTAAAATGCTAAAAGTCATAGGGGGGCTGTATGACTTTGTGGCTCCAGAGACTAGGAGAAGGCCTAAGGTATATTATTTGCAATAAGATAGGTTTCAGTTCAACCTAGGGAAGGACTTTTAAACAAATATGAGTATCTGGAAATGATTATAACCTTTTCTCGTGGTAGCACGTGCCTTATCATTGGTGGTATTCAAGCATAGGCTGAAGAAACATTTATTGGAAATATTGAGAAAAAGAATTATGAATAAAATAGATAACCTGAAGCTGATACTTCCAGTTTTGGGGTGAGAGAATGGAGGAGCTATGTCAAGATTTGATTCTGTGTGTATGTATCACAAGGGAGATCCTTTGAGGTTCTTAGGGAAGATGTCTCTTATCATTGCACAAATAATTTTTTTGCAAGTGGTAGCATTCTAAACAAAGGTTCAGTTTTTGTGGATTTCTCTGACTCAGATTCCAGGAAAATTGAATGCTGTCTGCCAAGGATGCTACAATGCTCGTTTCAAGAAGTATTAGTATTATAAATATTTGGTTCTTCCAATTCCCCTAGGATATACTCCAGAAAAGGAAATCAAGAAGTGATGTAAATGTATGGAGTGTTTCTGTCCAGTGGCTGTAATTGAAGATGATATCTTGATAACATATTTATCAGTAGTGTGGTAGATACTTAGCTGACCATGGATTAAGCATCTTTTTTTTTTTGAGACAGAGTCTTGCTCTGTCGCCAGACTAGAGTGCAGTGACGCAATCTCGGCTCACTGCAACCTCCGCCTCCTGAGGCCAAGCGATTCTTCCGCCTGGCTTCCCGAATAGCTGGGACCACAGGCGTGTGCCACCGCACCCGGCTAATTTTTGTATTTTTAGTAGAGATGGGATTTCACCATCTTGGCCAGGATGGTCTCGATCTCTTGAGCTCATGATCTGCCTGTCACAGCCTCCCAAAGTGCTGGGATTACAGGTGTGAGCCATCGTGCTCAGCCCAGATTAAGCATCTTAATTTCTGAGAGTTTATCAGTATTTTTGGTCTCACTTGTCTTTGCACATGAACTTTTATCTTCTTGGTGCCTTTAATCTTCTTTAAGAATTCTCTATGTTTCTTGCATATTAGACCTATTCAGTACTTCCCAGGCATGACTCTGATCTAGATACCGACTTCTGCACGAGATTGCTGGTTGGTTGTCTTATTTTCTTACCCATTTCCTCGCCTTTATTTGCTCTTCTTTCTCTTTCTAGTCCTCAAATACGTTTTAGCATAAATTTAATTTTCCTTTCATCTTTCTCTATACTTAATGGCAAACAGGAGTACTTTTAAAAAATGTACTGCTAACTAACCTCTGATGCATATTCATTATAGTTCCTTATTATTAATTGCTATTTTTCTAATTTTAAACAGCTTGCACTTTCCAGTGACAAGATTGCTGCATTACAAATGCCACTTTTAAGCCTGCATCTAGATGTAAAAGAAAATGGTGAAGTAAAACCATATTCTATTGAAATGAGTAGAGAGGAACTGCAGAATCTAATACATTCCTTGGAAGCAGCATATAAGGTATTTGCCATAATTTTGTCATATGATTTGAATGTTTAAGGTTTTTGGATTTCATTGAGTTGGAGTCTTGCTCTGTTGCCCAGGCTGGAGTGCAGTGGTGCCATCTAGCTCACTGCAACCTCTACCTCCTGAGTTTAAGTGATTCTTGTGGCTGAGCCTCCTGAGTAGCTGAGATTACAGGTGCCCACCACCACCACACCTGGCTAATTGTTGTATTTTTAGTAGAGATGGGGTTTCAGGCGGCCTTCAAAAATGTTGGGATTACAGGCATGAGCCACCATGCCCAGCCAAGTGTTTACGTTTTGATGGATACTCTTAGACTCATAGTTCACTTTTAGTCTTTTTTCTCCTGATGTTTTATGTTAATTAAGCACAGAAAGTACTTTGTTAATATGTTCTGAGCTCTAGTTTTGGATATTAATTATAACTTGTAATGTTCAATTACTTAGTTTTGAGCATAACATATTAAGTAATTTTTGAAAGAATAATAGTGCTGTTCTAACAGCTGGATTTCTTTTGCTTCAATGCTCATTAATAATAAAACTGAAATTTTTACCTTAGAATCATAAAATTAATTGATTGTGAAGAGTTTTTATGATTAAAAAATTATGATCCCGATAAGTGGTTTTATTAACTGGACTAATAATAGAAAATTGCTTTTATGATCCTCTAAGTATGGAAGACAAAATATGGCTTGTAGTTATTATGACAAAATCAGGTTGAGGCAAGACAGAACTAATGAATGTCCAAAAACTTCACATTTACAGTGGAGTGGCTAAATAACAGTAACCGCTCCTAATGTTTACTACATGAGAAAAATAATATTTAAACAGTAGAAACTGTTGTTGTGAGGAGGAATAAAAATAATTATCTTTGTATATGTATGTTTCTTTGTTATTGCTCATTGTTTTCTCTAGTGATCTCATCTCAGTGATCAAATCTCAGTGATTCTTGCAACCTCTCTTGTCCCACCATTCAATCTTCTCGATCCTACTTTTTAAAATCTCTGATGAACTTCAGCTTCTCTCCACACTCTGCATTTGCTCAAACATTTGAGTGCTTTGATTACTGGTCCACATGTCTATTAACGAAACAAGCAGCCCAGGCTTCGCAGGATGGCTGAGTGGGGCTGCATGTGTGAAGGATGCGTGTGGTAGAACCTGGTATAAATGCTAACAGATTCCGAACCATAGATTATGGCAGGCATGTGTCATCAGTTACTGTGCATTGTACTTGCTTGTTATGAGTTCTTCATGCCCTTTTTTAGAGATTTGAAAACATTGAATATGGTATATATCAGCATCAGTCTCATATAACCTGATATTTTCTCCTCAATCTGTGTTTTAAGGTGGTCCTGCAGTTGAAATAACTGGAAATGATGAATACCAGTGCTATCAGATTTTATTGCTCCAACTTATGTGGCAGAGTGAAAACTGCATGTTCAGAAACGCTGCGATGTCTTGACTGTTACACCAGGCTGAGAAAGCGGCAATGTTGATATTATAAAGATAAAACTTTACCAACATTCCTTAACAGGAAATTACATGGTTGAGAGGAAATGCATAAAATGAAAGATGAAAAATCCATAGTAGCAGTTTATATTTTTTTTATTGTTTTGCTTCATTTATTAAATATTTGAGAAATCTTTGGAGATACACAGTTTTATTGAAAGCTAAAAATAAGTTCTAATGTAATGTAAACATATAAAGCACAAATATACTTGAATATTGCTTAAAGAGTTATGTGAATAGCAACATATATTATGGATATATAATTACTTTGTGATATTTTTAAAAAATAACTTTTTCAAAAAATGTATTAGCTGCATATATAACTCAGGAGATTCCATATCTTTCTCATATTTCAGAAGAAAGATTATAAAATGTAAAATTTCTTAGAGAATATCTCTTTGTCGGAAACGAACGAATACTCTAAACTTATGTGAACAATTTTCAGTTTATGAATTCTAGAAACTAAAATCTCTAGAATACAGAAAAATGAAAGTAACATTGTTACTTCTGCATTTCTATGTTTGGGAAACATTGCTCTGATAAAAAATAGATGTCATTGTGCAGTGTGTATATTATTCAAATATCAGATAAGTTTATGTACAGGTCTACTTTTGTTAATAGACTCGATATTGAATACTTTTGGATGTTAACCGATTCATTGGAAAAACAAACCGTTTGTAACCTCAGTTAACTTTAAAAACAAGTATTCTGAGCAAATGAAAAGTGTCTTGTTTTATTTTTATATATTGCTTTATTTTAAGTGACTCCAAATAACTCAGTGGTTGTACATAATTATACATAACTCAGTAATACATAATTAATAGGTGCCTGCTATTTGCAAGCCATATGGCTCATTAGAGCATCAGATTATTCTTTGAGGTATCCAGAGCAATTATTACTATTCTCATCATACAGATGACGATAGGCTTAGAGAGTTTTAATAAATATCTGAGTGTGATCTAAACAATGCTACTCAAAAACTGCAGAGAAGTACAGTTCTGTCTGTGAACTGTTTGTTACAGGTCAGTCAGTGATTTAATAAGGAGCTTGGGCTAGAAAGTGTTATCAGTATACTGCTTTCTTCATCAAGAAATTTTGGTTTAAAAAAATTTATCAGCTGAAGCAAACAGTGTGCTTAGTGCGGTAGTTGATTTACCTTCTTAGGCAAGTTCTTTGTTATTATGGGCCAGTAACGGTTTGTAGAACAGCACTTTGAGTAGCACTCATCATGAAGTCTCTTCTAAATTTCAGCTTTCTATGCAGTATCTCCTTTACAAGGAAAACATCTTGCTGTATTTAGTCTCCCTCTCAGCACTTGGTAACACTCCATTAGCATATTCAGCAGCTTTATTGAAATTGAATCTGTATACTAAATATTATACATATTAAAAATGTGCAATGTGATGTTTTGACATATATACATCCATGAAAATATCACCACAACTAGGATAATGAGTATTTGATCACTCCTGAAGGTTTCCTCTTTGTCCTCTGTAGTCCCTGCCCCTTTGGTTCCCCACAGGTAACCACTGATCTGCTTCCTGTCACTACCGATCGTTGCGTTTTTGAAAGTTAAGTGTAAAGGAATCAGGTAGTGTGTGCCTCTTTTTCTAAAAAAAAACTCTGGCTTCTTTTAGCATTATCTTGAGTTTCATCCATGTTGTATGTATCAGTTTATTTTTATTGTTGAGAAGTATTATGCTATAGAGTTCTACCACAATTTATTTACCTATTGATTGATATTTTGATTGGTACAAGTTTTAGGCATTAGAATACACAATTTCTTACATACATCTTTGAATGAACATATGCTTTTTCTTGAGCAAGTACATTAGAATGAAATGGCTGGATGATATGGTAGGCTTATTTTTTCAAGATACTACCAAACTTGAAAAATTTTATTTGAATAATTTTTGGGGGTACAGGTGGTTTTTACACAGTTATTTAGTGGTGATTTCTGAGATTTTAGTGCACCCATCACCTGAGCAGTACACTGTACCCTAAATGTAATCTTTTATCTTTCATGCCCCTCCCAACCTTCTTCCCTGAGTCCACAAAGTCCATTATATTACTCTTATGCCTTTGCATCCTCATAGTTAGCTCCCACTTATAAGTAACCACATATGATACTTGGTTTTCCATTCTCGAGTTACTTGACTTAGAATGCCAAATTTTTCAAAGTGATTTTACCATTTTGCATTTCCATTGCAGTCTATGAGAGTTCCAGCTCCATCCTGCCAGCACTTGACATAGCCAGTCTTTTAAATTTCAGTTATTTTAATATGTATGTGTCTCACTGTGGTTTTAACAATATTTAACAAATTTTCCTAATGCCCAATGATGTTGAGCATGTTTTCATATGCACATTTGCCATGTATACATCTTCAGTGAAGTGTCTGCTCAGATCTGTTGCTCATTTTTCAATTGGATTTTTTGTTTTCTCAGTATTACATTTTGAGAGCTCTTATTCTGAATACAAATCCTTGATCAGATATATACCTTGCAGATACTTCTAATCTGCGGCTTATCTTTTCTGCCCCATGTAAACTAACCTTATATTTTTTAGAGCAGTTTTAGATAAACAAAAATTTAAAAGATAGTACAGAGTTCCTACATTATTAACATTTCACATTAATACAGTGCATTTGTTATAGTGAACTAATACTGACACATTATTATTAAGTAAATTTTAGAGTTTATTCAAACTTTCTAAGTTTTCCCCTATTTTTTTTTTTGCCCCAGGATTCTATCGTAGGTAGCATATTACATTTAGTTGGGATGTTTTGATGACCTTGACAGTTCTGAAGAATGGGTGAAATACTTTGTAGGATGTCTTTCTCTATTGGAATTCGGATGTTTCCTTCATGATTAGACTTGGGTTACAGATGTTGAGAAGGAAGATCATAGAGATAAAATGCCATTTTTATCACATGAAATCAAGGGTACATACTGCTAGCATGATTTATGACTTGACATTAATCTTGATTACCTGGCTGATGTACAGTGAACTGTCTTCACTGAACTGACTCTTCATTTTCCTCTTTTCCTACTCAAGGAAATCATTATAGTTCAGCCCATACTTAAGGAGTGGGCAGGTGTGCTCTCTCTTTTTGGGGTTCGAGTATCTACATAAAGTGTATGGAATTTTGTACGTATTTGTCTCTTTTCTACTATTGAGATTTCTACTTATGATCAGTATGGACTCATACTTTGGGTTATAATTCAGTACTGCTTTGTTACTCAAATTATTCTAGGCTTGGCCATTAGGAGCTCTTTCACTTGGCTCATATGTCCCTGTGACAATATCCCCATCAATGAGAGTGGACTTTTTATTTTTTTCAGAGAAGCGGGGTACATCTTTTTCCCTTTATCTTGGAACGTTATTTCTTTTTTTTTGAGATGGAGTTTCGCTCTTGTTACCCAGGCTGGAGTGCAATGGCGCGATCTCGGCTCACCGCAACCTCCGCCTCCTGGGTTCAGGCAGTTCTCCTGCCTCAGTCTCCTGAGTAGCTTGGATTACAGGCACGCACCACCATGCCCAGCTAATTTTTTGTATCTTTAGTAGAGACGGGGTTTCACCATGTTGACCTGGATGGTCTTGATCTCTTGACCTCGTGATCCACCCGCCTTGGCCTCCCAAAGTGCTGGGATTACAGGCTTGAGCCACCGCGCCCGGCCTGATTTTTGTAGTTTTTTTCATACATTTGTAGGCCCCTGTTAGGAAATATAAGGCTTTCATCTTTGTTCTTTCTCAGGGGTGTGTGTGTGTGTGTGTGTGTGTGTGTGTGTGTGTGTTTCTAGTAGAGGTCTTTGTGATTCCTTTAAATTTTGGGATTGCTTTTTCCTATTTCTTTAAAAAATGCTGTTGGGATTTTGATAGGGATTGCATTGAATCTGTAGATTTTTTTTGTAGTGTGGATATTTCAGAAATATTAAATCTTTAATTTATGACAAGTACTGTCTTTTATTTGTGTGTCTTTAATTTCTTTCTTTCTTTTTTTTTTTTTTTTTCTTGAGAATGAGTCTTGCTCTGTCACCCAGAGTGGAGTGAAATGGTGCAATCTTGGCTCACTGCAACCTGAACCTTCCGGATTCAAGTGATTCTCCTGCCTCAGCCTCCCAAGTAGCTGGGATTACAGGCACACACCACCACACCCAGCTAAATTTTTGTATTTTTAGTAGAGATGGGGTTTCACCATGTTGGCCAGGCTGGTCTCAAACTCCTGACCTTGTTATCTGCCCTCCCAAAGTGCTGGGATTACAAGTGTGAGTCCCCCACCAGGCCCTTAAATTTCTTTTAGCAATATTTTGTAGTTTTCAGTATATAAGTTTTCTGCCTCTTGGGTTATGTTTGTTTCTAAATATTTCATTCTTTTTGGTGGTATTGCAAATGGGATTTTCTTAATTTTTTTTTGCCTTGTTGATTTGTAATGTATAGAAATCCAACTGATTTATGTATGCTGAGTCTGTATTTTGCAACTTTACTGAATTCTTTGAAAATAAGGTTTTCTACATATAAGATCATATTATTAATGGGCAAAGATAGTTTTAGTCATTTCCTTCTGATTTGGATGCCTCTGACTCCTTTTTATTGCCTAGTGCTTTAGCTGGGACTTTCAGTTCTTTATTTTAGAAGTGGTTAAAGTAGGCATCTTTGTCTTCTTTTTGATCTTAGAGAAAAAGCGTTCAGTTTTTCACTAAGTATGATGTTAGCTGTGGGTTTTCATATGTGGCCTTTATTATATTTAGATGGTTTCTTCTATTTCTAATGGTTCAAAGTGTTTTTTATCATGAAAGGGTGTTGATGTTTGTCAAATGCTTTTTCTGAATCTATTGAATTCATTATGTGATTTTTATCCTTTTTGTTAATGTGGTGTGGTTGATTGATTGATTTTCATATGTTGAACCATCTTTGCTTCCCAGGGATAAATTTCACTTGAACGTGGTGTTCAATTTTTTAAAATATATTGTTGAATTTGGCTTGTTACTGTTTTGTTGAGGATATTTGTACCTATATTTGTAGGGATATTGGCATATGGTCTTTTTTTTGTCATATCTTTGTCTGGGTTTAGTATCAAGATCATGGTGACTTTGTAAAATGAATTTGAAAGTGTTCCCTCCTCTTCAATTTTTTGGAAGAGTTTGAGGAAGATCGAGTTCAATTCTTCTTTAAGTGTTTGGTAGAATTCTTCAGTGAAGCCCTCTGGTCCTTGGCTTTTTTGTATTGGGAGATTTTTTATTACTGACTCAATCTTGCTAGTTGTAAGTCTTCATATATTCTATTTTCTCATGATTCAGTCTTCATAGGTTGTGTGTTTCTAGGAATTTGTCAATTTCTGTTAGGTTATCTAAGTTGTTAGCATAGTAGTCTCTTATAATCCTTATTTCCATGGCATCAGATGTAGTATCCTCTGTTTCATTTCTGATTTTTAAAATGTTAATTGTCTTTTGTTCTTAGTCTAGCTAAAGATTCATCAATTTTGCTATTTTCAAATAACCAGCTGTTAGTTTCATTGATTTTTCTTTTGTTTTTATATTCTATATTTATTTATGCTTCAATGTTTATTATTTCCTTCCTGCTGCTAACTTTGGGCATCATTTTTTCTTCTTTTTCTACTGGTTGAAGAGTATCTTGTTTAATTTTCATTTGTCGATTTGCTAGTTTTTTTCTGCCATTGATTTCTGGTTTCATTCCACTGTGGTCTAAAGAGATATGAGGTATG